CACACCCATACAAGGTAAAGACTAGTGCCATAAATTATGATGATGGTAGTAATTGTATTTATGGCATATAAAAGGTGGTTGCAATTACCTTTGCAACCACTTTTGCAACCATACTCTTTCCTTTTTTGGATTACGGCACTAGTCTTTAATACAAGGAGATTTGTCGATTAAGTAATATCATTCAAAACAATGAAAGTAAAATTGAAGATCAAAAAAATATATGTTGGAAAAAATTACCAAATATACATAATCACATTATTAGTAACAATGATAAAAATAATGGTGTTAATATAGAAGAAATAATTAATATAAATTATAACTATAACCAAATAGAGTAAGCTTTTTTTACTAATACAAGTGGAGTCTGTGGTATCAATCAGTTAATTATCTTCTCTGACTATTATTCATTATTTATTAATATATATTAATGTTAATATTTTTATATTCAGGGATTGTATATATCAATTAATTTATGATGGATATATTTATTGAACTGTTGATAAACATTTCAAGTTAGCTTAACAAAAAAATTATTTTACGAAATATTTAAATGAAAATTGTTGATTTATTATTATTATTACTGTTAATTATTATTAATTATTTTATTATTATAATATATATATAAATACAAAATCAAATATAATAAACTAAAATTAAATTGAAACAATTTCTGCTTCAATCCAGCTCTTTAAGCATAGACTTGCTTGTGCTTTTTCTATTTTGAATTGGATTTAATGTATGTTTAGCAATGCTAAACATTTGCTCACTTGATACACTTGTGGCTTGTATTGAAAAATAATCTTTTGCCATATGTGACAGAGTTATATATTATTAATTATTATGCTAACAAAAATGTATATGAATAAATTTGGTAAATGGATGGATGAATGTATGGATGGATGGATCAATGGATGGATGAATGAATGAATTCAATAAAAAGCCAATTATTTGGCAAATGAAAAATCAATATTTTTAAAACTATTTATTATTATAATATTATTATTTAGCAAGCAAAATATATAAAAAAAATTTTTATCATTTGTTACACAGGGACCTTTTGGGACTTTAAGTCCCAAATGGTAGGACTGGACCTGAAAAAGTCCGGTCTGGACTGTTCAGGACCCGGTCCCAAAAGGACTGATTAACATCCCTACTTCTATACAGATATACTCCAATTTAGACATTTCTCTAGCAACAGTAATAGGGAATTTTCAAAGAATATAAATGTCTTAAAAGATTAGGTTCTTCAATTGCAAGGAATGACTTGTTCCAAAATATTTCATTTGACAGCAAAAGGAAACTTGCAAAAATTGCAGGTGTTGGCGATTGCTGTTTATGATGAGTTTTCATCTGACGTTATAAATAGGAATGATTAAAAACTCACATACACAACACTTTGACAAGGGTTTCTTTGCTATTATTATTATTATTATTATTATCAGTTATTTTTTACCTAATCTGGAGTCTTCTGGCAACGTACACTTAATTTTAAATTAATACACGAATTTATTTTTTTACCCTTACATTTTTCATTAAAAAACTTTCAATCAATTCTTTTATAAAAATGGAAGAAGAAAACGATAACGATGATTGTATAAAAGTAGTGACAGTTAAAGATGAAATATCAGAAAATAATATTAAAAACCAACTACAAATTATATGGATGTTGTTGATGCTATCGGACAACAAATTATAGTTAATGCACATAATAGATGTCCCATCGATGAAATAAAGTATAGTCCTAATCATAAATTTTTAGTAAACCATAGTAAAAAAGATGAATCTATTACTGGATGGACAGTTAACCTTGACCAAGGAACAATTCAACGAGATAGCCAAGATAACTATTTTAAAACTAGGTCATGTATAATAGATGTTTCAGATGATAAATATATGCTTCTTCTTGTATGAAGTAGTTATTATAGTAAGTAAATATGATTATTTATTATGAATATCATATTTATAAGCAATAATAATAATATAATTTGTATCATTTAAAACTAATTTTATAGAATTACAATTATTTGACTTTTCAAAAAAAAAATTTATTATTATTATCCATTTGATAGTAAATTTGGAGGTTTCATTACAAATGATGATTTAAGAAGAGATTGTATTGTTTATACCATATTCAGATATAAGTAATGTTAATAATGAAAATGATAAGTTAAGATGGTTCATAAATCAACATATTGCATTTACAATTACAGTTATTATAATTATTATAACTCACACACAGATTATTTTGTAAATTTGATTATCTTCTATTAATTGATAAGTTTTCGTTATTATCACTATGGAATCTAACAACTATATCATATCAATATAGTTGTTATTTAATATGTAGAAAGGATCATAATGATATAGTATTTAATCAAGACAAAACAATAATGGTATTATATAATGTAAGTATTATTTAGCCTCCTTTTTTTTTTATTATTATTTGTTTATTTATTTATATACTATGTATATTTCTTTCTTTTTTATCTTACAGTTGGATTGGAAAAAAATACCACTGTTAAAAATTAGATTTTGTGGTTATAAAAAGTCAATTAGAATGTTTATTATATGATATAAATACAAATAATTTAAAATTTTATTTTATAAAAAAAAAAAAAATAATTACATTTATAAATTAATGGATCCTTATGATTTAGGTAGAAAATACATATGAAGATAAAAATGATATCATATTTGGACCAATCATATCAGATAATGAAATAGTCATGGCTATTAACAATCAAATTTACATTAAAGAAATTATTAACAAAGAAAAATTAGACACTGTTCAACAAATATGTATAAAAAATAGGTATCATTTATATTTACATATAGGACAAACATTATCTGAAATACATGAAATACTTGAGGATTATGAAAAAAGAGAAATTGGTTTTAAAACAGGAAAAACTATATATTAAATGGTCAGTAGAGTATGATCATGCTTTACAAAATACCAATATAAAAGCTCAAAAATTGATAATGAAATAAAAGAGGAACCTCTAATAATTGGTGAATATTGTCTCAAGACTTCAGAAAGATTTAAATATTGTAAATTACTAAATAATGATGATTTAATTTTAATAACAAGCACATATATATATATTTTGTCATTTAATAATCAACATTATAAAA